CGGTGAGCTTTCAAATAAAGACTTACATTATCATCCACAAACCATACTCGTTTTGTAGGATGTAAAGCCTTTACTTTTCGAAAGTAGGGGAAGAGAAGAGGAATAAGAACCATCTCTCGATATAGAAACCAATCAATCCCACTGTTACGACGGAACAAGAAGGCTGGCCAACTACAGGACAGGAAGGAGGGAGGTCGCATGAGACCGGCCCTGGTACCTGGAGGGGCAGCGGGGAATAGTAGTTCCAAAAGTATCACGTGACGGACTCGCAGGATGATGAGAAGAGTCCTAAGAGTCCAGGACTCCGAGGACTCGAGTGAGTTCCCAGGAGTCCACTAGGCACGTGACGGACTCGCAGGATGATGAGAAGAATCCTAAGAGTCCAGGACTCCGAGGACTCGAGTGAGTTCCCAAGAGTCCACTAGGCACGACGCCACTATATAAGTAGATAGTATTTCCTTAGATAGGAGCTTCGTGCTCAACTCAATACAGTATTTGTTATATACTAGTAACGTGTTACTTGAAGCCTTTGTGTCTGATCCCCTGCCTCCTCTGATAAGTAAACCTTTACGCAAGAGAACCTCTGTGCCTTCTATCGTTTAGAAGTCAGTGTTACACCCGCCCTTTGAAACTTCTTGCCCTTCTGATTGCCGTCCTCTAATCCATGTCTCTATATCTCCAAACTCTTGTGAAGCAACTCGTGCCTTTTTCCATTTGCTTTTGCCATTCCAAATATCTGCATTTAGAGTTTCCATATATCCGTACTCAAGAGTTCCAACTGTTGTTGCTCTAACAAGTTCATTCTCTGCTTTTGATTTCCAATATGCATTTATCTCTCGTAGTTTCTGCACATGTATCTGCTTCTCTTCTATACTTTCAGGAATCCATGAACGAGAAGGGCGTAAGATAGAGGTTTCTGAACTCATTGCTCCCCAAAACATAACTTGAAATAAAGATTTCTTCTGTTGAATTGCCATGCTCTCTGCTGTTTGACCCCGTTGAACTGTTATCTGTCGTTTCTTATGTGGATTCCCTCCGAAATTGATATATGATTCATCTGAGAAAATAAAAATTGATCCAGCTTCAAGTTCGGATAGTGCCCATTTGCAGAATTTCCATCGTACTGAAGGAATGATATTATCCAAGTAGGGCTTGAGGCAGATGTTTTTCCGTACAATAGGTTGTGGAATTTCAACACTTGAGTGATTCTTTGCAACTCGTTCGACAATTGATCGTGCATAGGGTAGATTTTCCTTATTAATAACTTGTTGAAAAGTGTCAAATGGATTTGCAAGTAGCAAAGATCATATGCGTAGTGACTCTTCAGAATCCTTTTGAATTGTCTGTGGTCTTCCGCTTCGTGGCTTTGATTCGAGGTGTTGGAGAATGTTGTGAATTTCAGTATTCCCTGCCCTTTTAACAGTTTGGTGCCATATATATGCAATAGAGTCAGCTGAGATTCCAAGCTTCTTTTCAATCTCTCCATATGATGCGTTCATGTATACACGCAAGGTAATAATTGCAGCACGTAGTGGTATTGAGATTTCAGCCATTGTTGAGCATTACTTCATTGCTTCATTCACTCTCATATTCTACGCATGTACATTTTCTACGCGTGTACTCGGGTACAAGTACATGGTGCTTGGTAGATTCCTACAATCTAATTGGCTGTTGTGCACAGACCCTGTGGAAACTTTTGGGCCGCACGAGTATGTGTAGTTCTTCGGTAATGTGTTCTTAATGCATTATTAATGCATTAACGTACATGTATAGCGAAAGCGCCAAACAAGCGAAAGCGCCAAAATGATGCGGTGACCAAACCCCCCAACTAAATGTTAAATTCCTCAACAACAAAACATGCCCCATAAAAACGATGAAAGCCAATTAGTGCTAGCTATCCAGGCTATGCAAAGCGACCCAAAGTTACGCCTTCGAGTTGCTGCTAGGATCTATTCTGTGGACCACCGCAAGCTAGGTCGTCGTCTAGAAGGTGTACCTTCACGACGCGATATCCAAGCCAACTCATGGAAATTAACTAACCTAGAGGAGTCCGTCCTTGTTCAGTATATACTCGACCTAGCTGCCAAAGGGTTTCCTCCTCGGCTGTCTGTTGTTGAAGATATGGCAAGTCGACTACTTGCAACACGCGACGCGTCACGCGTTGGGTCGCGTTGGGCTTCAAACTTTGTTAAGCGGCGTGTAGAGCTCCAGACACGCTTTCAGCGCAAATACGACTACCAGAGGGCTAAGTGCGAAGATCCAGAAGTTATTAATGGCTGGTTTGAGCTTGTGCGTAACACAATTGCGAAATATGGTATCGATGAAGCAGATATCTACAACTTTGATGAGACTGGGTTTATGATGGGCGTTATCTCAACTGCTATGGTTGTAACAAGCTCAGACGGGCGGGCAAAAGCAAAGAAGGTACAGCCTGGTAATCGGGAATGGGTTACAGTAATCCAAGGCGTTAGTTCTCAAGGTTGGGCAGTACCACCATTTATCATTGTTGCAGGCAAAAACCACCTTACATCTTGGTATGAGAATAGTGGATTTTCAAGCGATTGGGTGATTTCTGTTACTGAAAATGGCTGGACTACAAACGAGAGAGGCATGGATTGGATTCAGCACTTTGAGAAGCATACAAAGGCCCGGAGTGTTGGTGGTTATCGCTTGTTAGTCCTTGATGGTCATGAGAGCCACCACTCAGATGAGTTTGAGGAGTACTGCAAGGAACACAACATTATTACGCTTTGTATGCCTGCTCACTCTTCTCATCTACTCCAGCCACTTGATGTTGGCTGTTTCGGCCCGTTAAAGCAGGCCTATGGTCGGCAAATTGAAGATATGATGCAGGCTCATATTTCTCATATTACAAAGGATGACTTCTTTCCTGCCTTCCACGCTGCATTTAACACTACAATGACGGAAAGTAACATTCGAGGCGGGTTCCGAGGGGCAGGGCTTCTTCCATTTGACCCTGAGAGAGTGATATCTACACTTGATCTTAAGTTAAGGACACCAACGCCTCCAAGCTCCCGCCCAGGTACTGCTCAACCTTGGGTTTCTCAGACACCAAACAACCCAATTGAAGCTATGTCACAGTCTACATTTATTAAAACTCGGATTTCACGCCATCAAAATAGCTCTCCAACCTCAATCTATGCAGCTGTTGACCAGTTTACAAAGGGTGCATCGCAAATAATGCATCAATTAGCACTGCTAAAGGGAGAGAACCAAAACCTACGACAGGCAAATGAAGTACTAAGCAAGCGCCGGAGAGCTAGGAAAACACGACTACAGCAAGGAGGATCACTTAGTCAACAAGGGGCGCAAGAGCTACAGGATGAGAGGGATGTTGTGCAGCAGGTAGAGCAGGAAATAAGGGCAAGCCGTGGTCGGAAGCCAAGGGAAGAAACCCGTGCCCGTCGCTGTGGCAAGTGTGGTGAGACTGGGCACAATGCGCGCACGTGTCAGATTGTAATAGACACCTCTGAGGAAGAGGACTCCGAGTAGTTTCAATTGATTTCTAATGTTGTGGTAGATTTATCGCAATGTTTGTCGTGAGGGTAGATAATTTTGGCGCTTTCGCTTGTTTGGCGCTTTCGCTATACATGTACGTTATAGGTCCAATATTGCCATGAACGACTTCAGCCACCAAAGCCAACGCACTGCAGTGTTCTTAACAATGCTTATTGTAAAAGGATGACTTATATTTGCACAGGTATAACGCTTCCAACAATAAGGAGGTCGTCGTCCTAATGCATTAATAATGTATTAGTAATGTATTAATCTCAGCGTGAAGTTGAAAGTGAAGTTGAACTGGAATTGAACTTACATCTTGGGGAAAAGGCTTCATTCCGAGTGGGCGTTCAGTAAGGAGTTTGTAGGCCTTATAGGCCGCCTGTTGTGGTTGTTAGTAGAATTATCAATCCATTGGTAATGTATTCATAGCTTGATGGGCGCCATCGTGGTGGCGGAGGTGGTGGAGTTGGTGCTGTTGTTGACGGCGGAAGGTCGAAGGTCGGAAGTTGAAGATTTATTTATGGGGGTCAGCCGAGGTTTTGCCGGAAGTGGAGTGGGTCAGCCTAGGTTGGGGGGATGCTCGGGTCACCTAACCACCACGATTACACTCCACTACAGCGCGTCGGCTCGTCCATTCTCCACCAACCACTTGAACTGGCACTTGACATATTGACACCACTCCCGGCTCTTCTTCACCAGGGATCTCAGGTTGGGCCGGGTAGCTCCTACTTCTGAAGCAAGAGCACGCCTCCTTAATCTCGACCGGGGATGCAGAGAAACCAACCCCCAATCGAACCAACTCCTCCGATTGCGAGGGGATTTGTTTCGGTTTCGTTTGTTTCTGGGTAGCCGCCACTCATCACCCCGTGCGGTACATCCAAGCCGCCACTGCTCACCCCGTGCGGTACATCCAAGCCGCCACTGCTCACCCCGTGCGCTACATCCAAGCCGCCACTGCTCACCCCGTGCCGTACATCCAAGCCGCCACCGTCAGCCCGTGCGACAGGGTGGAACTTCAGGATGGCTCCAAATGTCTTGAATAATGCGTCCGCTGCCAAGTGGTCTTATCCTCCGAAGCTACGGATCGACGCCGAAGTGTGCTGCTGATGATCCTCGTCCTGCCATTCGCGCCTTCCTAGATCACGCACCATAGCGTCTACTCCCATGCCACTCCATGCCACACTCTATCCAACTCCGAACCCAAGACATCGACAACACCTGGTCTGGCCCAGACTGGTCAAGTGTCGGCCATTCATGAATGGCTGTGAATGTACTCGTACTTTGGATTAATAAATGTATCTAGGGTGATGATCTTCGCTACCCCCGTAGTAGACGAGTCCAATAAAACCCCGAGTAATGTTAGCCACTCGCACGTATGTGACGCTGTTATATATATTATTAATTATTATTTCTCGCAAACTTTTTGAAAACAGCGTCGAGGTGGAACTACGTACATGGGTCCCCTGTTAACAATTATTGGCCCAAAGTATGAGTATGTCAATGGGCTGGCTGGCGCGGAAAGGTGGGTAGGTGTGCGCAGGCACCTCCCTTCATCCATTCTTCCATTCTTCCTCCTCTATAAGTACCTGAGTATATCCGCATCTTTTTTCACAATGTAAGCAAGCGCTGGTCACTCGCCCATTGTTCACTTTCTTAGACCTCAGGTCTGCCTCCGCCCTTCCTAGAAGAATCTACTGTAAGATCTTTTGTTTGCGCCCCTCTCAAAATTATATATCGAGCATCATACTTACTATTCTCTCAGAAAACATACACTTTACCCCACATCGCTACTTACAAATTTGCTTTCCCAAACGCCCATCATGGTGTTCACCATGCATCGCCTGCTGGCGGTCATGAGCTTGCTATTGCTCATGGTCACAGCATTCCCAGCTACTTCCGCCGCTCCTTCCAAGCGAGCCACCTCATACTGGCAGTCAGATATCAAGCGCCAAGGCACAGTCGCATATGGCGATTCCACTTTCAAGATCTTCCGCAATGTCAAGGACTTCGGCGCCAAGGGTGACGGAACCACCGATGACACCGCTGCTATCAACGAGGCTATCTCGACTGGCAACCGCTGTGGCCAAGGCTGTGACTCGTCGACTGTCACCCCAGCTCTCATCTACTTCCCCCCCGGAACCTACATGGTCAGCAAGCCATTGAACCAGTACTACTACACGCAAATGATTGGAGACCTTTCCACGCCACCAACCTTGAAGGCCACCGCTGGCTTTGTTGGCATGGCCGTCATTGACGCAGACCCATATGCTGATGGAGGCATCAACTGGTTCACCAACCAGAACAACTTCTTTCGCCAGATCCGCAACTTCGTCATCGACTTGACTTTGATGCCCCCCACTGCCGGTGCTGGTATCCACTGGCAGGTTGCCCAGGCCACCAGTCTCCAGAACATCGTTTTCAACATGAGAACAGATGGCGGTGATGCCCTCGCCCAGGTCGGAATCTTCATGGACAACGGCTCCGGTGGCTTCATGACCGACCTCACCTTCAACGGTGGCAAATACGGTGCCTTCCTCGGATCCCAGCAGTTCACCAGCCGCAACCTCAAGTTCAACAACTGCCAGACCGCCATCTTCATGAACTGGAACTGGGCATGGACCTTCCACGGACTTGAGATTAACAACTGCAAGATTGGTATTGATATGGCCAACGGTGGTGCTTCTTCCCAGACTGTTGGCTCCGTGTTGGTCATGGACTCCAAGATCAGCAACACCCCTGTCGGAATTGCAACCGTCTACCAGATTACTGAGGGCGCCACCAACGGCACCCTGATCATTGAGAACGTCGATATGTCTTCCAACGTCCCAGTTGCCGTTAAAAACGCTGGCACCCAGGCCACCCTCCTTGCCGGAAACGCAAAGATCGATTCCTGGGTCCAGGGCCGCGAGTACAAGGCCGTGAACGCCGGAAAGGATGTCCAGGGTTCCACCTTCACCACCACCAAGCCCGCCAGCCTTCTCGGTGCTGACGGCAGAGTCTTCGCCAAGTCCAAGCCGCAATACGCCGATGTCCCAAGCTCTTCGTTCATCTCCGTCAAGGATAAGGGAGCCAAGGGTGATGGTGTCACCGATGACACTGCTGCCATCCAAGCTGTTTTCGACTCCGCTACCGCGAATTCTGTCGTCTACTTCGACCACGGCGCCTATGTCATCACCAAGACTGTCAACGTCCCAAAAAACATCCGCATCACTGGTGAAATCTGGCCTCTCATCATGGCTGGTGGCGACTCGTTCTTCAAGGACCAAGCCAACCCCAAGCCAGTCTTCAAGGTTGGAAACGCTGGTGAATCTGGCGCCGTTGAGATCTCCGACCTCATCTTCCAGACTCTCGGCCCCCAGCCAGGCGCGATCCTGATGGAGTGGAACCTCGGACAGACTTCCCAGGGCTCATCCGGTCTTTGGGACGTGCACTTCCGCATCGGTGGCTCCGCCGGCACCAAGCTCCAGTCTAACACCTGCTCCAAGACCCCCCAGCAGACCACCCCCGTCAAGGATGAGTGCGTCGCCGCATTCCTCCTCCTCCACGTCACCGCCAAGGGCGCCGTGTACGTCGAGAACTGCTGGTTCTGGGTTGCCGATCATGAGCTCGACCTCGCAAACCACAACCAGATCAACCTCCACAACGGCCGCGGCGTTCTCATCGAGTCGAACCCCGGCCCAGTCTGGCTATGGGGCACAAGCAGCGAGCACAACGTCCTGTACAACTACCAGGTCAACGCCGCCGCCAACGTCTTTATGGGCCTGATCCAGACCGAGACGCCCTACTACCAATCCAACCCCGACGCCTCCGTCCCCTTCACCGCCAACCCCACCTTCAGCGACCCCGACCTGACCCAGGGCTCCTCGCTGACCAAGAAGGCATGGGGCGTGCGCGTCCGCGGCTCAAAGGACGTCTACATCTACGGCGCAGGCCTGTACTCGTTCTTCGACAACTACAACCAGGACTGCCTCGCCACCGCCAGCTGCCAGGACAACATGGTCTCCATCGAGTCCTCGAGCAACGTGCAGCTGCTCGCCCTCAGCACAAAGGCCGCTGTCAACATGGTCACCGTCGAGGGCCAGTCTGCCGCGCTCGACAAGGACAACCGCAATAACTTCTGCGCTGCCATCGCCGTCTTCGCTCTGGCCGTAAGCTCCTCTCCCGGGTCTCTACCTACTACCACGACGCGATCGTCGGCTCCCCCGTCCTCCTCCTCACACTCTCCTTCCAGCCCTCCTACAAGTCGCCTGTCCTCGGACACGACGACTGCTCCTCCCTTCCCTCTCACCACTCTCACTTCTATCACTACTACTACCGTCCACGGTCATCCGCTAACCACTACCACCACAGTAAACACTGCTGTAGACACCACGCTCTCAGTTTCTACCGCCTCCACCAGCACCGCTACGGCGCCGCTGCCGTCTGTCCCGGGTGTCGTTCCCGGGTTTACGCCTGGTGTTGTCCCGGGGTTCACGCCGGGTGTTAGTCCTTGATTTGGATACCGTGTGTGTGTGTGTGTTGGGACTTTATTCTTTTTGATGCGGCTTACTACTGAGCGCGAAGGCGAGGCTTGAGTTGATACCCCCCCTCCTACTACTACGACTTTTTTCTTTTTGTTTACTTACTCTTCTTTGTACCTTCTTCTTTTTTGCACATAGCTTTAGATTGGTGATTGTTGGTTGCGGTGGACCGTGCGGGATCATGGGAATGCCGGGGAGACACTTTTTGGATGGTGGTGTGATTGTAGCAGTGGGGATCGCTGGGAGGATCTAGGTGTAGATTCGAAAAAGTATATATATGGGGCCTCCTGGCGGGGAGGAGCGCGGAGGTCGGCAAATGCAATATCTGTTGACTTTATGGATTTTTGAAAATGAGTTTTTGAGGCGATGTTGGTGAATACGTGACGTTCTTCTATGCTTATGGGGGGTGCTACTGTAGAGCGTGGCAAGTCAGAGCAGTGGCTTAGTAATCAAATGCCTTTCTGTTTCTAGAGCCGTATCATTAAATTAATTAGGCCGATGGGATTGGTGAGTTATAAATCAAAAGGCCTTCGCTTACTTCCCTGTCTCCTTGTAATCGTCGTGACCAACCTTGAGCTTCGCTCAAGGCAAAAATTTGCGACCGTAAGTACCCCACCATAGTAATTTGTATGTAAAGCTACCTAAATATTCCATTTTACGGAAAATTCTTCCTCATTCCCACTCCCACTCCCACTCCCACTCCCACTCCCACTCCCACTCCCACTCCCACTCCCACTCCCACTCCCACTCCCACTCCCACTCCCACTCCCACTCCCACTCCCACTCCCACTCCCACTCCCACTCCCACTCCCACCTCCCACTCCCACTCCCACTCCCACTCCCACTCCCACTCCCACCCTCGCTCTCAAGCTTTCATACTCGCTTTCGCACTCGCTTTCGGGGGCTTCTGGGTCCCGAATTGGCTCCTCAACTTTTTGCAGAGCATACTGCTCAGTACGATGATGGGAGTGGGAATCCCAAGGTTCTACTCCGCAAGCTCACTGTTCGAATAGCCAGTTTCGGAGAGTAGTATCAGCTCACTACTCTTGAGATTCTCAGGGTACCACGAATCCATATGAACTTTGCCCGGAATGATAAGTACAGGTGGAATCACTTTTCCAGCTGCAGGTACTGTCTCTATTACTGTAATAGACGTACGATTCTCAGGGCTTGGAGTATATAGCTCCTTTGCTGCTCGTGGTACTCGGTGTTCCACCCACTCGCTTCGCTCGTAGGTGGCGACAGCAAGTTGTGCGTGCGACAGCAAGATGTGCGTACACCGCTATTTTGATATATAGAAAAAATAATAGTATTCTTCATAACGTAGTATCTACAATGCCTCAAAATAACGATCCTACTATGATTGCTCGCCTTAATGAGGCCCAACAGTTCTTCTTAAAACAACCAAGTACATATACAATTGCTTGGGTTGCAAATAAATTCAATGTCAACCGTGAGACACTCCGACGTCGTATTACGAGTACTACGTCTCCTCAATTACCCCACGGAGGTAGCAATCGAGTCTTATCTCAATCGCAAGAGACCGCGGTCTGTCAATTCATATATGACCAACTTGAGCGCGGGGTCCCTGCCAACCGATCTATGATACTACGGGCAGTTGCAGACTTACGACCTAATCGTACGATACCATCACAACGGTGGCTACAACGCTTTCTAAAAGCACACCCCGAATTTCATACAATTCACACGAAGACGTTAAATACACATCGGAAGCAAGCACAAAAGAAAGAGGTGTTTGAGGAATTCTTTCTCACATATAACGCCCTTATTACAAAACATAACATTAAGCCATATAATTTATGGAATGTTGATGAGACAGGCTATATGATTGGGTGTTATAAGTCTACGGCTGTTATTGTACCAATCGGTGTAAAGCAGTGGACTGTTGATAATCCTGAGAATCGGCTCTCTGTTACTGTAATTGAGGCAGTAAATGCAAGTGGTGCTGCACTTGCAGAAGCTATCATTATCCCTGGCAAACTTCATATGGATTCATGGTACAATGATGACCTTGAGCCAAATGCTCTCATTATTGTAAATGAGAGCGGGTATTCAAACGACGACATTGCAATCCAATACCTTATGCATTTTATCCAACTATCTGCAGAGCATATGGCACCAGATGATACTCGCCTCTTATTACTTGACGGCCATGACTCTCATAAAACAGAGCGCTTTCTTACATTAGCAGAAGAGCATAACATTGTTATTTGCTGCCTTCCTGCTCATACAACACATCTATTACAACCTCTTGATGTAGCGGTTTTTAAGCAGTGCAAACACTTTCATCAAAAGGCACTTGATCAAGCAGTACGTAGCTACGACTATGAGTATAAGCTACGTACGTTCCTTTCAGACCTCCCGCAAATCCGACGGCAATCTCTAACTGTCCGTACAATTCAATCTGGTTGGAGAAATACAGGACTATATCCATATAATCCTCCACTTGTAATTGACAAGATACAAGAGACTCGGAATCAAACACCTGATTATGAGCCATTTGCTTCATATAATATTATCTCAACACCGAAAACAACTATGCAAAGTGTGCAAGCGGTTGAACATTGGCAGAAGAGAGCAGAGGAAGCTTTCTCATCGCCTTCAAGAGAAGGGTTTCAATCATTTGCACGTGGAACTACAGTTGTTCTACACCGGGCAGAGCTCTATAAGACCGAGCTAGATATTATGACTCTACGTGCAGTAGAGCAGAAGGCAGCAAAGGCAAGGGCACGGAAATCACTACAGAAAGGAGGGCAGTTATATGCATCAGATGCACGGAAAATGCGGGAAGAGAAGAAAGCAAAGTTGCAAGCAAAAGCAGACGCAAGAGCAGCAAGGGAATCGGACCAAGTAGTAAAGCAGCTACAAGCGCAAGCACGTAAAATCGAAATTGAAGAGCGTAAGGTTGAGAGGAAGCGGGTAGCAGAGCGGAAGAAGGAAGGGTTGAAATCAAAAGTGATCATTTTACGGTATAGTAAGGATCAAAGTGATAGTAGCAATAGTGGCAGTAGCGATAGTGATAGTAGTTCTATTGATTTTATGTTTTAATTATATAGTTATATAGTTGATATATAAGGCGTCTTTTTCTTCGTTTTATGTGTCGCACATCTTGCTGTCGCACGCACAACTTGCTGTCGCCACCTACGAGCGAAGCGAGTGGGTGGAACACCGAGTACTATAACTCTCTCACCTCCAGGAATTCCAATTCGAAAGCCAGTTTCGTCCATATTCCAAATTGACTCCGGCTGTATATTACGATCCCCTATAAATCGGAAGTATTTCTCAAACTCAATAACCTTCAGTTCGTCCTGAGCCCTTGTACGCTGGAGAGCAATTGGCTTTGTAGTAATGAAGTGGAATCCTGAAGCTCATTCCTTATGTAAGCCAGCTCTGTGATGGTGGAGGCTGTGGGCTCCGGAGCTGGCATACTGCAGTAAACACCATACTCCTATTCGCTCCAAGCCCTAGGTAATACTGCTCTAAAATCCACTTCTTAAGGGCCTCTCTGTCTGAGCAGTAGAAAGCACCTTATTCTGACCCCCATAAGGCCGCTTCATCTGCTGGGCTACTCGGGCGATTCTTGACTGTATAGTCGACCTAGGGACCTTCAAAATCTGACTAGCAACACCTGCAGATTCAGAGGGGTTTGCTGCTAGCCATTCACAGGCATTTGATAGAGGAGACTCTTCCATTGAATGAATTACATTTTTTTTGAGCCCCTTCGCAACTGGATCCGACCGACTACCATTACAGGTGTCCTACCTAGGCTTTTGTGGCTTCTACTGCCAATTCATTCGAGATTTCGGCAAAATAGCAAAGCCCCTCACAACTATTACTAGTCCCTCGGAGCCGTTCCGGTGGACAGACGAATGTGAGGATGCGTTCGAGGAATTGCGACGACAACTTTTAGCGGTCCAGGCACTTCACCACTTCAACCCCGAATTGCCTACGAAGCTGGAGACCGACTCCTCTGATGGAGTGGTAGCTGGTGTCCTGTCCCAGGAACACCCTGACAAGCGATGGTACCCCGTAAGCTTCTACAGTCACGTCCTATCCAGACATGAGATCAACTGGGAGATCCACGACAAGGAACTATTCGCAATTGTGAAAGCCTTTGGAAAATGGAGGCCTGAGTTGGTTTCGGTACGCCACCGAGTTGACGTCTATGTCATACTGACATTCGTTGCACTCAGTTTGCTATCAAACTCAAGAGCAAACTTAGAAATCACCTCCTCAAACCTACAAGTCACCATACATATCTTGGCTTATCACACCAACAACAGAAGCAATACTACTCAACGATTGCTGCAAACTCTTCTACTACATCTGTTTATGCTACATACATCACGGCATATCATTTGGACACTCATTGAACAAGTTATTAAGAAAATCTCCTCCTTAAGGGGGTGGTAGGAACATGAACGATAGCTCTAGAAGCTTCTACAACCCTCTATGATTCATCACACGTCATCGCTCCTTAGTTACCCACAAGATTGGTTAAGTTATGACATAATTTATCTATAGGTACTCTGACCTTGGACCTCCTTTTCACTTCACTTCCTATAGGCTAGAAACCCAAGAGATGGTTCTATGGGATTCTCTTACATTCGCTACATGATTAGCAAGCTAGTTGTGGGTCGCACTTGATTTCTAATACATTTACCAAGCCTGGTTAGTCATGGAAAGTCATGGAAAATGAGAGAACTACACTCCTTTGGCATAAATAGGATTGCCCTTTCCTTAAGAAAGGGCAAGCAGACAATACAGTAAATCGACTATCACATACTTCCACGTCTTTTACAAGCTTCCAAGCATTCATCTTGTTACTCCTTGTTTCTGAAAAGTCAGTGAGGTGTTAACCTCTGACTTACCCCTGAGTTCCCAGACTCAACATTTGTTGCAACTTGTCTGAACCACTTCACTACATCACACACCTGATTGCTGCGTTGTGAAATAGTCTAAGCTACAACCCTTTGGCTCTGTTTCCTAAGACAGTGTGTTGTCTTAGTAAAATCATCCCTTCCTTGGGTGGCTAGATTCTCACATCTGGTGCACCCACCATTACATCTAGTACTTATTTCACTATGTCATTCACTTCACCTGCTTTGCTCACTTTGCTTCACTTGCTGACCTAGATCAGCCCAAATGTTGACTACTGGCTTAGGCTCTCTGTTATTGGCTTGCTGCACTAGGGCTCGCTTAGCTAGGGTTCGGTTAATTAGTGCCTTCGCTTATTTGGCACTAGGGATTTTTACTGTTATATAAGCACTTATTGCTCATGTCTCTTATTGATCTTTAGCTAGCAAATTATATACTACTTGGCCTTCTTGCAATTCCTCCTGCTTCGACTTACTTTGCATTCCCTTACTTCGAGTCGAACCACTTGGCCAACCTGTTAGTCTCACCACTTGACCCCTGTGGTATAAAGTATATGCTTTGGAGCCTGAACTACTATACCTTGTCCTACTGCTTCGAGTATCGAAGTCTTCACATTATACTTCGGATACTTCTGCAGACTTGAAGGTCAGCCTCAGTTCTAACTGTCCTTACACTATTGCCATATAAAAAGTAAATCTCAAGATATCTCGCCTAAGCGAACTGGCGTTAGCAACACCAAATAACAACAACCTCACTTTGCTTCAATTTACACCTACACCTTCTTCCTCTTACTCAACTGGCTCAACACAAATATGTAATTCGCTACTGGCTATTTGGTAAGCTCCCCAATTTTGTAGTAATATTTATATTAACCTCTCAATAGTAATGGTTAAAAAGTCTGGTTCAGATTTCAGCCCCAATTCAGATTCAGACAACACTAGTACTTTACCACACCAAATCACCCCAGAACCAAGCCCTACCTTCCTTTTTTCCTAGCTAGAAGTTTGGACTGAAAGTACTCAAGATGCCTGTCCAGAAGAGAGCCAGCAAGGCACCAAGAAAGACTGTCCCAAAAAGGGAGTCGCTGTCAAGAAGCCACCAAGACGTCACTATCTGTAAGGACACAGGGCACCCAGCTCACAGTAATAGCATATGAGAGTGCAAGTCGGAGGCTAA